ATATATATATATATATATATATATATATATATATATATATCCCATATCATAAGGCAAAACATACCTCAAAGATACCTGTATATACAAAACCGATCATCCAGACATTAGTAACATCAAATATAATAATAATATTGATTATTAATATTAATAATAATGATAATGTTAATGATACTGATAATAATAATAATAATAATAATAATAATAATAATAATAATAATAAAAATAAAACTATTATCACAACAGCGATATAGGCACAATCGTTCCTGCAAAGCTTTAGATTCCCTAGATATCATATACATAATATCCAGGACGATCCATATATTGATAGAAATTCATCAACATACAATTACATTAAAGATAAATATCGCTATATTAAATACGCGTTGCATCAATTGTGTGCCTTATTCCGCGGCTACCATTTTTGTAACCATTTCAAAGCATTCTCCTTAATAAGAGAACAGGAGCTATCGAGTGATTTATGTAACAATTAAAATTTTGTGAAATTGAACAAAAAAGAAAAAAAAACAATGAATTTTAAGTTTCATGATGATGATGATGATGATGATGATGATGATGATGATGATGATAATGATGATAATGATGATGATTTTATCTGGGCATGCATACCAAACAAATACATTGATTTTTTCATACATCAACTAATATGTTCATCAAGTATTTACAACTGATGTGCATATATTCATAAGCATGTAAGCATTAACATTGCATCTTACACGAGACGTGTTATCGTATACTTACATTTTAGTTGAATTAAAGTAAATGTGTAAGGAATAAATGTACTTGAATTTTGTTGTGTTTTTGCTTAAAAAATAATGAATAAAATGTTTCAATTAATTTGGGGTATCCTCAATTTATCCTGATTATATTATTCAATAAAAAAATATGTTTATGTAATATAATTATTGTAAATTAAAAAGAAAATATTTAAAAAAATATAATTATACGATATATAATTTCTGTACAAATCTTTATAGTTTATTAAAGCAAAAATTGTTTTTCTGAAATCAATTGATATAAAAATTTATATAAATTTGTTACATAATATTATATTCTTACAAATCATATTTGTATAAAAAAATTATTATTATTATAAACTATAAAATATGATTTACAATTTTAAAAAAATTTATATTCAAATACGCAAGCGCATAACGAATTAATCAGCTAAAAGTTCAAAGTCATTCAGCGCCACCAAGTTAGTTCGATAACTCGAATTCAAGATGGACGTTAATGCGATACGATACGATACGATATAAAGCGAGATACCGAGCGAGTGCTGCCACCATTCGCTTATACGAGTAGTACATAGTTGACTGAACAAGGATAGTAACATAGGAACCGCTAAAAAGAGTAAAGGAGTAAAAGGGTAAGAGAGTGCAGCTGTTGTTAATTAGAAAGAGAAGGATAGAAAGGATTGTGTCGTGGCTATGAAATAGTTTTATATAGATGGACACGCGCAGGTCACACGACGAAAGGTCAGGATTGTGTGCGTTCGCATAGAGTAAGTGTAGCGGTATCTCACTCTCTCATACTGCGACGGGGTTCGGAGGTGGAGCGAGAGTGAAAGACGAAGAAGCGAGCGAGCGAGGGCGAGCGCGAGTCGGGCCAGCGAGCGTGGAACGGTGTAGAGCGAGCGAGCGAGCGTGTGGTGGTGGTGGTGACGACTGGTGCCGTGGACGGACGGTCGGTCGGCGGTCGGACCGTGGTGTGTGAAGAAGTGAAAAATTCGTAAGTGGTGTGCTGGGTTGGTGAGCTGACTGGTTAGTGGTGATATATCGGGGTCGCGCCACGGACAGTGCCGGGGATTTTTGGTCGTCTTGAGGCCTGTTGCCGAGACGTCGAGGAACGACGCGTGGAACCGAAGAAAGAGACCGCGTTAAAGAGCAATGTCTGACCGGGAAAGCCTGGACGATCAACCGCAAAGTAAGGATGAAGAGATTATACGATCCTGAGTGCACGAGTGTTCGACATGTTTTATATCGGACACGATTTTTAATACGTTTTAATGCAAATGTGCGCGATCCGACATCTTTCCGTGCCTGTAGCACCGTGTGCTGCGCCTCCGGTTACCAGGACCGTCTTTTCCATGAGCAAACGCAACGACCTCCGTCGCGGTTGACCCGCTCCGTTACTTCGCGCACGGTCTGTGAGCATCGCGGGCTCGTACACGTCCGATCGTTCCTTTCAGTCCTCGTGGCGTTCTGTCAACCGCCGAAAAGAATTGCTATTTTTCAACGATACCCAGGATCCAAGATGGCCGGTCGCGTTTCGGCCGAGAGACAAACCCTATCCTCTTTCCTCCTTTGACTTACTCTCTCTTTCTCTTTTCTTCTCATCTTGTCTTTTTCTCTTTCTCATATTCTCTCTCTCTCTCTC